AAGAAATGTCTCAGTCACCATTCAGACTTGGAACGTTTAATGTATTTTTAACTTTATGTCTAGTCTCTTTACTGTCTTCTTTTGGTGACCATTATTGTCATTAGGAGATTAATAGAAATATGGTATACAGTATGCCTATTCCTTCACCTCATGTGGCCATTTCTATTTCTTCTACATGAGAGCACCAGATCTTCTTTCCTCTTTCTCCTTGCCACATTTTCTTCTTTTGGCATTTGCTTTGCCCAGTACTTCAAGATTGTATTCCTGTAGTTGCATCTGAGGTTTTAATGACAAATTTATTTTTTCTTTAAAGCTGCAGACTAGTATTGCCTTGAAAGAGCATTATGTGAACTGAGCTTGGTGGCTCATTTGTATACTTTCAGCACTTTGGAAGGCTGAGGCAGGTGGATCTCTTGAAGCCAGTTCAAGACCAGCTTGGGCAATGTAGCAAGACCCCATCTCTAAAAATATTTGAAAACGAGCTGTGGTGTACATCTGTATTCCCAGCTACTCAGGAGGCTGAGGTGGGAGGATCAGTTAAGCCTAGGAGTTCAAAACTACAGTGAGCTATGATTGTACCATTGTACCACTACAGCCTGGGCAACAGAGTGAGACCCTGTCTCTAAAAAATAATAAAATTTAAAAATACAATAAATAAAAAGATTATATGAATACCTATTGGTGTGCCTCCTAAGACTTAGAAATCTTAAAGTTGAACCTCTAGTACCTCAGAGAAGGATTTATATTTATTATAAACTGTGAGGATTATATGGGCAGACTGAGAAGTAAATTTTACCATTAAATCTAGTCTAAATCAATGTCAACTCATACTTCTGAATAATTTAAGAATAAAAGAACTTTTTTCTGCAAGTAGGGTCTCAGTTAAAAGCATTTCAATGAAGATAATAGGAAAGAGACATGGAAGTGATGTAACTGTGGGAGTCCACAGAATAGGAAGTAAATGATGCCGCCATAAAAACAGAATAAAGGCTGGTATAGAAATAAGAGATTATATTAATAGGAACTCCAATATGTAATATTGGTATCAAGCAGGAAGATCCAGCTATCAATCCCAAGTGAGGATTCCCACCACATGGAGGTTGGTAGCAGTAGACCTCAGCCCACTGTGTCTTCTGTGGGTTCAGAATCACCAGGGAAGACTAAACCCACAAGTCACTGATTGGAACAATACTTTACTCACAGAAAGGAGAAGAGACTCAGCAAGATCACTATGTATAGTGTATACCGGTGCTATTGTCTGATTGTGTTCCCCCACATTCATGTGTTAGAAACTTAATCCCCAATGCAACATTATTGAGAGATGGACCCTCATGAGAGGTATTATATTTAAGCCATGAGGGCCTCACCCTCATGAACAGAGTAATGTTATTATAAAAAGAACTTGCAGGAGTGGGTTCCCTTATTGCTTTTCTACATTCTGCCATGTGAAAACACAGCATTCGCCTCTCCAATGGAGGCAGCATTGAAAGTGCTATCTTAGAAGCAGAGAGCAGCCCTCACCAAAAACTGGCATCTTGCTCTTGGATTTCCCCATTTCCTGAACTATAAGAAATAAATTTTTTTTATAAGTTGTTCAATCTGTAGTATTCTGTTACTGCAGCATACATGCACTAAGACAGCTGGTGTCTCATGGCCAATGAGTCCCTTGTTAGAGCCAGTGTGGGGCAATAGACTACATGCACCCTTCTCATGCTGCAGGTGAAGACCTAGTTCCCTTCCCACAGGGAACAGATACATTGGTGGGGCTGGTCAGGGTCTATATGTTTTTCTTGATAAGAAAGGAGAATTTGAGGCCATGCAACAGCTCAGCTTCTGTATAGAGAATGTTCCAGGCCCAGTTTACTAGTTGAGCAATCCCAGAGAGCAGTGGCAGATTGCATGATGGCTGCTTCCCCAACAATTGGGCAAATATGCTAGAAGACTTACTGTTATACCTTTAGAATATCTAGTGATTTTTTTGACGGGCCTAAGTGAAGTGAAAGGAAGTAATGAGAAGTACAGTTATTCTGGAGTTAATTCCAACTGATATGGTTTGGTTCTGTGTTCCCACCCAAATTTCATCTTATAGCACCCATAATTTTCACGTGTTGTGAGAGGTACCGAGTAGGAGATTATTGAATTATGGGGGCTGGTCTTTCTTGTGTTGTTCTCCTGATAGCGAATAAATCTCACAAGATTTGACTGTATTATAAGGGAGAGTTTTCCTGCACAAGCTTTTTATGCTTGCCACCATCCATGTAAGATGGGACTTGCTCCTCCTTGCTTTCCACCATGATTTGTGAGGCCTCCCCATCTACATGGAACTGTGAGTCCAATTAAACCTCTTTCTTTTATGAATTGCCCAGTCTTGGGTATGTCTTTATCAGCAACGTGAAAATAGACCAACTAACAAGGAAACTTTAATTGGTGAGGAGCAAGTGATAGGAACTTTTAGAGATGGAGTTTATTTTAGAATTCGTATTAGTAAAATAATGCCTTGGAATAGTGTTTGTTCCCATCAGCAAGAGAAAAAATCATGATTTATGGGACATTGGGTAGAATATTCCAGTTAGATTTTTGTCTTAGTCATGGAAAATAAATAGCTCTAGGCTGAGCACCTCTCCATACCCATCCAACAATCAGAAAAAAAAAAAAAAAAATCCAAAAAAAAAAAAAAAAAGTCAAGCTGTTTCCAAGTAACTAAACTGTCACAGAATAAACCTCAGGAATATAGAAATACAAAAATATGCAATACCCAAGAAGATAATTCAAACTAGGCATGCAAAGAAGCACTAAAATGCAACCCCATATAGGAGAATAATCAGTCAAATTGACACAGTTGATAAAATTAACAGCCAAGGTTCATTAAACCATTATTATACCTACATCCCATTCGTTTATAAAGAAATAGTACCATAGAGATACCAAGAAGACACAAATTAAACTCTGTTTTTTGAGATGGGGTCTTGTTCAGTCACTCAGGCTCAAGTGCAGCAGTGTGAACATGGCTCAGTGCAGCCTCTTCCTCCTAGGCTCAAAGGATTCTCCTCCCTCAGCCTCCCAAGTAACTGGGACTCCTGATGCATGCCACACATGACACCTGGCTAATTGTTGGATCTTTTTTTTTTTTTTTTTTTTTTTAAATAGAGATTGAGTCTTAACTTTGTTGCCCAGGCTGGTCCTGAACTCCTGGGCTCAAGTGATCCACCTCAGCATCCAGAAGTGCTGGGATTCTAGGCATGAGCCACCACACCCAGCAGACTGAACTTTTGGGTATGAAAACTATTATGTCTAATATGAAAAATACACTATTTTGTATTAATGGGAGATTAGACATTGCAGAAGAAAAATGAGTTCTAGAGATAGACAGAAAAAAAGTAGTTTAACTAAAATCATTGAGTTGTGGGACAAATTTAAGTGATCTAATTTATATAACTGGAGTTCCTGAAGGAGAGTTATGAGCAGAAAAATTTTGAAGAAACAATGGCTGAAATTTTCTAAAGATGATGAAAACTATAAACCCATGGATTGAAGTGTCTCAGTGAACCTCAGACACACGAAAAAGATGCACCTAGGCACATGTATACCAAAGCACATCAAAAGTAAATTGCTTGCAATCAGTGATGAACAAAAAAATCTTAAAAGCAGCCAGGGGAAAAAATACATGTTGCATACAATGGAAAAAAAAAAAACATAAATATGACAGCAGGTTCTTGAAGGAAACAGTGTTAACAAGAGCACATTAGAACAACATTGTAAAGTACTTTTTAAAAAATTGCCAACCTAGAATTCTATACCCAGAGAAAAAAATTTTTTAAAGCTGAAAGCAAAGTAGAGATTTTCAGACATAATAGGGGAAGAAAAACATCATTACCAGGAGTCCACACTATAAGATATGTTAAAGGAAATCCTTCATAAAGAAGGAAAATTATACCAGTTGGAAATATGCATAAACTAATGGCATGCACCAAAACGTAACCTAATGGATAAATATATATTAATTTTTAGCATGTAAGTCATTTTAAACATAATTGTCTGTTTAAAGGAAATAATGACATTCACTTTAGGGGTTTTAACATGTACATAAGTAAAATATATGACTAATACTGCATTAAGAGAAAAATGAAAGTTTTGTTGTATGATTTTTATCGTATATATGAAGTGATGTAGTATTAGTTGAAGATAGGCTGTGATAAGCTAAAGCTGTATAATAGTGACCCTAAAGCAACCACTAAAATAACAAGTTTATACCAAATAGATGAATGAAGGAGATGATGTTGGTTCTTTAAATTAAGAAAGAGGCAGAAAAGGAGAAAGAGAAAGCAACAGATGGGACAAATAGAAATCAAATAATAGATTTCAACTTAATATATAAATAATCACACTATTTAATAGTCAGTGGTCTAAGCCACCCTGATTAAAAAGGAGAGACTCTCAAATTGTATTTGGGGGGAAAGAAAAAGCAAGATACAAGTATAAACTGCTTGCAAGAAAACTACATGAAATTTAAAGAAATAAACTTCTGTACTCTGCTAATAGTAACCAAAAGAAAGCTGGAGTAACTATATGAACATAGAACAAGATAGATTGTGGAACAAGGAGTATTTCTGGGAATAAGGGAGATCATTTTATAACGAGGACAAGACACTGCTAAACAGTGTTAACTCTGTTTTTTATATGCTTAAAAGAGAGGTAAAATACATGAAGCAAAAACAGATATAACTTCAAAGAGAAGCCAACAAATCCATAATTATACTTGATTTCATTAGCACATTCTGAATGGTTAATAGAACAAGAAAATCTACTAAGGACATAGAACACTTAAAAATTACTATCAACCAATTTGATATAATTGCCATTATGAGGCTACTTAAGAGGAAAAAAAGATTAAATAGCTTTATATCTGTTAAGAAAATTGAATTTGTGGCTCTGGGGGATTCGTGCACGGTAAGAAGCTGCATGACAGCGCAGTGAGGTACCTCTGATGAAATTACGACCAGGTGGGCACGAGTTAATACCACATATAACAAAAGACCCTTGCCTGCAACATCGTGGGAGGACATGAAGAAGGGATCCTTTGAGGGAACAAGCCAAAACCTACCAAAGCATAAACGACTTGAAGCCATTACTATCCCTTAAAAATGATGCACCCCAATCAAAACATAAGAAGAACAAAAAGAAAAAAGAGTACTTAAATAAAGATGTGAATGGATTAATGGAATACCTAAGACAATTCACAGGCAGTTCACAAGGGGCAAATTATAGCAACAGATAGTAAGGTAGTAAGGAAGGAAACTGCAGTTGCTTTAAAGAAAGACAGTCAATGGAAGGAAGAAGATTAAAAAGTGGCAAAGAAAAATGCAATGGTGTTTCTATTGTAGAAAACCTGGTCATGGAACTTGCAGATTGCCCTGCGCCCTTGAAAATCAATATACCATCACTGGAGTAGGTTACATGTGTGGGTCCACAGAGCACGGAATAACCAAGTGTAAGGCTAAAGTAGACCCAGCTCTTGGTGAATTTCCTTTAGCAAAATGTTTTTGTTTGTGGAGAAATGGGGCAGCCTGTCTGGAGCTTGTCCTGATAATCCCAAAGGACTCTATGCTGATGGTGGTGGTTGCAAACTTTGTGGCTCTGTGGAACATTTAAAGAGATTGCCTGGAAAGTCAGAATTCAGACTGAATGGTCACAGTTGGTCATTAGGCAAAGGGAGTGAGTGCAGATTATGAAGAAATTTTGGATGCACCTAAACCGCAAAAACCCAAAACAAAAATACTTAAAGTTGTTAATTTTTTATAACAACTAGCACTGTCATTTACCACCTCATTTTTACTTTCTAAACCAGGCTCACTTAACAAGTTAGAATTGGGCTCCCTTGTAGTCAAGACTATACTATAGATAGTAGTATGATCTGAGTGTGGTCAAAAACAAGTTTCTTTATTCTGTTCATCAAGTAGTACTTCTACCACTGTTTGGAAAAAATTGAAGAAAAGAATAAGACGGTTAAATGGATTCTCTAAAAGAACATATTTTAAGAGACAGAACTTAGGCATAACTAAGTGGTTGTATACCTAATTGTAACAATCATCTTTTATAAAATCAAAATTATGCATAAATGTGAAACACCCCTAAACAAAGGGTACAAATGAACTTTTGGTGATACTGTTTTCTTGGCTCAGAGTATCAATTTATTATTATAATAGAAATATACAAGTTACTAGAAAGTCTATTTCTAGGATATGGAATAAAAATGCATTTTCTATTAAAAAAAAAAAAGGAAAATTGAATTTGTAGTTAAAAAGCTTTCTCACAAAGAAAACTCAAAGTCCAGAGGCATCAATAAATTCTACTAAACATTTAAGGAAGAAATACTATATTTTCCACATAAAGTCTTCCAGAAAATTATAGAAGAGGAAATACTTATCAATTCATTGCATGATGCCAGTAATACCCCGATGTGAAAACCAAAGAGAAAAGAAATTGATATCCCTCATGAATCTACATGCAAAAATTCTAAACAAACTTTTTAGCAAATCAAATGGAAAAATATTATAGAAACAATACTTCCTTAGTAACATATATTACAGGAATATAAGTTTTAGCATTTGGAAACCAATTAACACAATTGAGCATGTTAATAAGCTAAAAAATAACCATATGTTCATCTCAAAGGTGCACATTTTTTTAGATGAAATCTAACATCTATTACTGATGTAAAAAAAAAAAAACCTTAGCAAACTAGAAATGTGAGGGTACTTTTTCAACCTGATAAAGCATTTCTATAAAAATTCTACGTCTATTAGTAGTATCATACTTAATGATGAAAGACTGAATGCTTTCCCTCAGTGATCAGGAACAAAACAAGGATATTCAGCCTTACCATATCTATTCACCATTGTACTGGAGGTTTCAGGCCATGTAATAAGAAAAAAGAAATAATAGACATTCAAATTGAGAAGGAAATGGTAAAATATTCCTTATTTATAAATAGCATGATCATCTACATAGAGAAGCAATGAAATCTACAAAAAATGTTACTAGAACTAATAAGTGAATTTTACAAAGTTATAGGCTACAACATCAATGGATTAAAATCAGTAGTATTTCTGTGTCCTGGCTATGAACAAGTATAAATCAAAAATTAAAAACAATACTATTTACAAAACATTTATATGTATATGAAATACATAAGAATAAATGTGGCAATGTCAAAGACCCAGACACTTGAAAATTACAAAATATTGCTATGTGAAGTTAAGAAACACCTAAATAAATGAAGCTGATACCTTGTGTTCATGAGATTAGGACACATGATACTGTTAAGATGTTACTTCTCTGCAAAGTAATCTAAATGTTCGATGAGGGGCTGGGCACAGTGGCTCACACCTAAAGTTTAAGGATTTGGGTTGGGGAGGGCAAGTCAGGAGGATTGCTTGAGGGCAGGAGTTCAAGACCAGTTATAGCAACACAGTAAGACTCTTTCTCTCCAAAAACTTTTTTAAAATTAGTGAGTCATGGTGGCCTGTAGTCCTAGGTACTTGGGAGGCTGGGGCAGGAGGACTGCTTGAGCCCAGGAGCGCACCACTGCACTCCAACCTGTGCAACAGGGATAGACCCTGTCTCAAAAAATAAAGATTTAGTGCAGTTCCAGTCACATTCTTGGACAGCATTTTTTGTTTGTTTGTTCGTAGAAATTAACATTGATTCTAAAATTTATATGGAAATGTAAAGACACTAGAAAACCCAAAATAATGCTGAAAAAGAACAAATTCAGAGGGCTAACACTACTTATCAGTCTTATAAACCTACAGTATTGGATAGGTATAAAGATAGACAACTCAGTAAAACAGAGCAGAGAACACAAAAATGGACTCAAAGAAATATGCCTAACTGATTTTTTGGTAAAGATGCAAATAACGTTCAATGGAGAACAAGTCCATATCCTTATGGTTATGTCACAATTTCAGGTGCATATGCAAAAAGAAATTACTCTGGATCCATATACGCTGATATAATGAACTCATAAGGTATCATAGACCTAAGTATGAAACTTAAACGATTAAGCCCTCCAAAGAAAACAGGACACAATTTTTGCAGCTGTAGATTAGTCATAAATTATTAGATACAACAAACAGAAGAACAATCCAGAAAAGAACCAATTGAGAAAAGCACATGTAAAGATACTCAACATTAGTTATTAGGAAAATGAATATTAAAACCACAATTATATACTACTACATAACTATTAGAATGACCAAAATTAAAAAGGCTTCCGCTATCAAAGGAAGTGGAGGAACTGGAACTGTTATGCACTCTTACCACCTTGTAAAATATTTTAATTTTTAAGAAAGTACAAAATATCCATCTAACATATAATCCAAGCATTATACTAGGTATTTACTGAGAAGCGAAAGCATATAGTTACGCGCTAGTATTCACAGCAGCTTTTTTTTTATACCCTCAAACTTAATCCAAACTACTCTGCAATAAACTACTGTTCTTCAGGTGAACTGATAAATTGTGGTATATCTATATAATGGAAAACTACTTAGCAATGAAAAGCAACTACTGTTACATAAAATAACATGAATGAATGTCAAAGCAATTAAACTGAATTAAAAAATTTAGGCTTAGGAAACTATATCCTGTGTAATTCCATTAATATAAATCTCTAGAGAAAGCAAAGTAATCTCCAATGATAGAAAGTAGATTAGTTCTTTCATGGTTGCACAGATTCAGGAGTAGTGGAGTAGGTCAAAGGATTACAGAGAGACACAAGGAGACTTTTAAAGATGGTGGATATGTTCTTGGTCTTGACTGTGGTAATGGTTACTGGATAGATACATATGCCAAAGAGATTACCCATCGGTACACTTTAATTATGTGCAGGTGATTGCACATCAATTATATCTCATTAATGTTTTTTTAAAAAAAAAAACCTACATAATTTTCCTTTAAGAGTTCTACCTGCCTGGAGCTCACAGCTCAGGACTTAAGCCCCAATAAAAGATAGACTGTCTCCTCAAGTAGCTCCCTGACCCCCATAGATCCAAAGACTCACCTCATAAAGGAGAGAACGGACTGACAGTTGGCGAGCATTCTTCTGGGACAAAGATAGCAGAATAGGAAACTGGTAGCAACCCTTACTGTTCTGCAGCTGCTGCAGGTGATCCCCAGGCAAGCAGGGCCCGGAGAGGACCTCAGCAGTCCTACAGCAGAGGGGCCAGATTGTTAGAAGGAAAGCTTAAAAAAAAAAAAAAAAAAGAAGTAACTTCAGCATCCACGAACTAAAAGCTCACTCAGAGACCCAATCTAAAAGACAGTAACTACAAAGACAACAGGTGGATAAACCCACAAAAATGGGAAGAAACCAGCGCAAAAAGGATGAAAACTCCTGAAACCAGAACACCTCTCCTCCTAAAAGGGATCACAACTCCTCACCAGCAAGGGAACCAGACCAGATGGAGAAGGAGGGTGATGAAATGACAGAATCAGACTTCAGAAGGTGGGTAGTAAGAAACTATAATGAGCTAAAAGAACATGTTCTAACCCAACGCAAAAAAATTAGGAACCTTGAAAAAAGATTGGACGAAATGCTAACGAGAATGGACAGCATAGAGAGGAATATAAGTGAATTGATGGAGCTGAAAAACACAACATAAGAACTTCGTGAAGCATACACAAGCTTCAACAGCCGAATTGACCAAGCAGAAGAAAGGATATCAGAGGTCGAAGACCAACTCAATGAAATAAAAAGAGAAGGCAAGAACAGAGAAAAAAGCGCAAAAAGGAATGAACAAAATCTTCAAGAAATGTGGGACTATGTGAAAAGACCTAATCTACTTTGATAGGTGTACCTGAATGTGATGAAGAGAATGAATCCAAGCTGGAAAATACTCTTCAGGATATTATCCAGGAAAACTTCCCCAACCTAGCAACGCAGGCCAATATTCAAATCCAGGAAATACAGAGACCACCACAAAGATATTTCTCAAGAAGAGCGACCCCAAGGCACATAATCATCAGATTCACCAGGGTTGAAATGAAAGAGAAAATGCTAAGGGCAGCCAGAGAGAAAGGTCAGATTACCCACAAAGGGAAGCCCATTAGACTCACAGCAGATCTCTCAGCAGAAACTCTACAAGCCAGAAGAGATTGGGGGCCAATATTCAACCTCCTTAAAGAAAAGAACTTTCAACCCAGAATCTCCTATCCAGCCAAACTAAGCTTCATAAGTGAAGGTAAAATAAAATCCTTTGCTGAACAAGTACTCAGAGATTTCATCACCCCCAAACCTGCTCTACAAGAACTCCTGAAAGAGGCTCTACACATATAAAGGAATAACCAGTACCAGCCACTCCAAAAACACATAAAATGGTAAAAGAGCATCAACACAATCACGAATCTGCATCAACTAACCAACAAAACAGCTAGGTAGCATCAAAATGACAGCATCAAATTCACACATAACAATACTATTCCTAAATGTAAATGGACTAAATGCCCCAATCAAAACACACAGACTGGCAAATTGGATAAAAAGCTAAAACCCATCAGTGTGCTGTATCCAGAAAACCCATCTTACATGCAAGGATACACAAAGGCTCAAAATAAAGGGATAGAGGAAGATCTACCAAGCAAATGGAGAGCAGAAAAAAGTAGGAGTTGGAATTCTCATCTCTGATAAAATAGACTTTAAAGCAACAAAGATCAAAAGAGACAAAGAAGGACATTACATAATGGTAAAAGAATCACTGCAACAAGAAGAGCTAACGATCCTAAATATATACGCACCCAAT